GTTTTATATTAAAATTTACACATCACAAAATTAATTTATACATCTTCCTAACAAGATATAATAATCAAATATTTATATAGTTTAACGTTTTTACATACGTACGTACAAGTTTTGCAATTTAAGAAAGAAGTTCGGATTCATAGTTATTTTAAAAATACAATTAAAAAGATACAATTAAAATATATATAAAAATAAAAAAGTGGCGGATGGTAAAAAATTGATAATAATTGGGCTTAAGGATGAAACACTAGCAACTTTTGAAGAGATTTTCACTTTCACTTTTAAAAGACAGAACTACACATATAACAGCCTAAAAACAAGAAAAAATCTGTGAAAGATTGTAAATTTATTTACATTATTAAGTTTTTGTTTAGCACCTATACGAAAGTATAAATATATCTTACCTCGAGAAATGATAATTTTATTAAGATGAAACTAACCTGAAAATTTTTAAGTTACTGGTTCCGCCAGTAAAGTCTAGCCGTCTTAAATTCTAAAAAATAGCTTTTATAACAAACTTAATTTAAAATTTGCTCGCGCTGTTTTGTTTACTTTTTTTTGCTCTTTTGTCTACGTTTTTTTAAGCGGATCAAAATTGAGCCTATAAAAGTAATTCAAGATTCTCTATTAAAATAATAAAGAGGTGGAGAGTTAAAAAGTTTGTTACATATTGATGATATTCATAAAAATGTTGTATTTGCAAAAGGCTTTGCATTTGCGCAAATAATTTGACTGATTCGAAGCAAAAAAAATTTGCAAAAATTTGAAAAAGGAAATGTTTGAAACATTTAAAAATAACTACTCTATGTACTATGCCTCTAAAGTGTTGCGTCACTTTACGCTAATATATAACAAAGAGTGATATACTACAGCGTAAACACTTTTATTATAACCAATGCAATTCAAAAAGATATTATCTTTTTATCAAGATAATATCTTTTTAAATTGCAATGATTTTAAATTCATCGTTAACGTTAATAGCGGATACGTAGTTCTTTTAAGGTAAAAATAAATAAAACAAAAAGCAACCAGTAATATTATTCTTTAAGTGTAAACATACAGTGATATTTGTTACTGTATGTATATTACTAAAAGTAGGGTAAAAGTACTGCTTCTTTTATTTTTTTAATTTATTTTTAATTTTCAGTATGCTTATACATATGCATGCCTTAGGTATTGTGCTGTTAGTCCAGATTTATTATTTTAGATGCATTCTAACTATTATTTTTCAGAGATCTGTAAAATTTAACAAGATTTAAATTTTATTTTGTTTATTAATTTTATTCTGCAAAATCGGCCACATAGATTAAATAAAATCAATATTATTCCTGTGATTACATTTGTGTTTAATGAATTATACAATAATTGAAATGACATTTGATTTTAAAAAGCTTGAAAATAAAACATACTATTTTGCCATGGTAAAACCATGATAAAACCATAAAATTTCCATGAGTATTTGGAATGCGATTCAATGAAAAACTTATAGTTTTTCCATCGAAAACTTATGATTTTTAATAAAAAAAAACCATAGGTTATTTATTTAAATACCATAATTTTTCCATGTAAATACCATGGTTTTTCCATGGAAACTTGTTCCAAATGCACATGGAAATTCAATGGTGTTTTCCAGATGTTTTTTTTTAGGTTTTCAATGGAAAGTTTCTTTACAGGTACTAACCACTGGCCTGAAAATATTAATTGATAATGAAAAATGCTAATGTGCCTTTAACAATGTTTCGTAACATTGATTGGAGTCAAACTTCATCAGAAAAAAATTACGCAAAACAATTCAAACAAGTTTTTCAGAAAATACATTCAAGAACAAGTTTATTATTAAAAATATTCAAGAGGATAAAATTTATAGCTTTAATAAAGCTAATAATTTAGAACTCAGTGAAATTGTAATGATGGTTAAAACTGAATATCAGCTCTAAGTAACAAATGTAATAATGATTACTATTAATTTTGATTATTTTACAGTCAAAAGGTTTTGTTCAAGGAATTGTAGTGCTACGGGAAGACACAATCAAACTATCTAACTTTTTAGTTTTAATAATATATTGGATACACACCTTTGTTTTTCATGTCACAAAGTAGAATGAAATAAAATTGGCTACTACTACGGGTTAAAAAAAATTGCACAAAAAGTATTAAAGCTGCAATCTGAATAAATAAATAGTTTGATTTTATATAATTGGGACGAAAGTTACAAATTCCTCATTTTGATTTTTTCTTTCCTGAAAAAAATTGTACTTTTAAACAGCCTCTAGTTGTTCCATTATAATACGCGATTAAATGCTTGTAGTAAAGGTATAGATTTCAAGACCAGTTGTAAAGGTATGAATTACAAGACAAGTTGTAAAGGTTAAATAGCTATTATCAAAAACAACCATATACACATTAAATAAACTTGCATAAAAGTATTTTAAAAATCTATACAAACTGGTTTTGCCCAAAAATTTTTAAGGTGATTACGGTCCCAATTAACAGATAATCAAGACCAAGGTTTTGTAATGCATAAAGGTTTTGTTTTATAAATAAACAATGCTTCAGTTATAATTAGGACGGTTTCTTTTAACTAAGCAAAATTAGATTTTTAAAGAATTGATTCTTTACTAAAGCTCAAATGGTTAATAATTTTAGTTTAATTGAATTATATCATTCAGTATTTTGCCTAATGTATCTTCAAATTCGGGCCTTTGTATTATCACACTGTTTCCTTATGATACCTTTTATTTGCCATAAAAAAAACATAGAAGGAGATGTTTTCAGCTACTTTCTACATTATTGGAATAATAAAATGTTGACAAATAGTGAAGCATTGACTGCAGTGACTAAAGATATTTAGAGAAGCATCAACTGCAGTGAAAAAAAACACCAAATTTTGGGATAGAGTTTGTATTTCTATGGGTTATGAGAACAAGATTATTAAAAAAGTTACCAGAAATATGATCTTCTGAAAAAAAAAATCAATATAGACAAGCTTAACTCAAAATTTTGAAAGAAAAAAAATTCACAAAAAATTAGAAAAATCTTGTTGATGTTAAAAGCAAATATTATAAATGAAAAAGATTGTAACTTTCTCTTTGCGTAAAAAAATCCTAGAAAAAAAAACTTATTGGATCAATTGATAAGGCTCTTGCAGTAAAAGAAATACGCCTTGAGCGAAGAAATTCTTTGAAGAAAAACGCAGCAGAAAAATAAAGAAGAGGCATTCACATTCTTTTTCAACTATAACAACTACTGCCAGATAATGCTGAGTTCCGTCAGCATTATCTGGCAGTAGTTGTTATAGTTGAAAAATATGTTAGGAGGATTCTATATTTCAAAATCTAGAGTACACAAGAAAACGGCTATTAAATACTAATTATAATATTTTTTAATAATAAAAATTTCCCCAAAAATACTCATTGTTGGCTTAATATAGTTGACAATATTGGTGTAATATTGAAACTATATTACGCCAATATTGGCCAGAATTATATCCACAATATTGGTACAGTATTGTAAACATTATAACACCAAAAATGCAATGTTAATATTTTTCAAATTTTGGGCAATATTAACTTAACAATATTGCTGCATTATTGTACCGCCAATAATGACTAAACAATATTGTACCAATATTGTAGCGCAAATATTGGCCAATTTTGGCGAAATGTTCACTTTGCAATATTGGCGCGATATAGTTTACAACATTGCGTCATTATTATAGCCAATATTGCCCCAATATTGCGCTAATATCTTTTTCTACTTAGGAAGTTTCAAAGTAGGAGAGAGTGGTACTGAATGGACTTTGTACTGAATGGACCATTAGAAAAATAAAAACTTAACAAGCTGTTAATTGATTTTTTTAATTGCATATAATTTTGTATACTCAAATTTTCTTTGATATTTTTAGTTTAACGTTATTCGTAATAATGCATTAATATTTGTATTTTTTGTTTTTTTTGAGCAAAAAGTAAATTTTTATCTTTTCAATTTGTTTCAATTTACACTAGATTTTTAAGGTAAAGTTAACTATGATTAATAATAATAATTTAGATACATATTTTATACTTTGTATAATATTAGAATGAATGTTATATGATTTACTGATTGCTGTGATTATATGGGTAACATTTACATTTTGATTAGTGTACTGGATGAAGCACCATAAAAAAGAACTTTTTGATTAGTGTACTGGATGAACCACCATTGATTGTACTGAATGGACCGGTTTATTTTTCTGCGAAGTTATTTATCGCGCTTCGGTGTTACTTACTAAAACAAAATACAAAAGTTTTTTCATCTAAATGAACTAAGGAGGTGTGAATTAGAAAATAAACCAAAATATCTAGTTAACGAAAATTTAAGGGCTCGAATTCAATTATTCATATAACATTAAGTTAAGCAGATTAATAGCTTACATAATACGTTAATAATTATTAATTTGTAGTTTGTTTCATTATTTCAATAACTGAATGTCATAATATTATTACAATATATAAATAAGTTGGTAAGTACATGATTCCATAGCGTAAAGTTAGGTCCCGTAAAATTGTCCCGCTTCACGTCCAGGACAGAGTTAACATAATTAATTTTTGCATTTATAATTTAATTTGTGAAATAATTAATATTCTTCAAATGAGGAGCACGTTTTCACTTGCTTATTGTCGGAAATTAAATTTAAATTGGTAAAAAAATTATTATCAGAAATAATAATAGTTTAAATTTGTTAGAAAAAACAACATTGAGTATAGGTAATACAAGACAATTTAACCTTTTTAGACAAAATATTTTAAATTTTGAATATAAAAAGCTTATCTTGATGTTTGTTTTACTGCTCGTTTAAAAACATTTCTCAGGATTGTTTTTAAACGAGTAATATAACATAAGCTTTTTGTATTCATAATTTAAAATATTTTGTCTTAAAAAAAAATTTCCTATACAAGCACGTTTTAAATGAAGTATAAATTTCATTGTTTGTGTGTTTGTTACTGTTTAAATTTTTTTAGTTGTTGTTATTTCTCAAGAAGGAAGTTGGGTTACTGTAGAAACATACGATGAAGTACTTGTTTTGATACATAGCTACGAAACAGAGACTGTATCAAAGTTTTCATGCTATAGTGCTGCTAAAAACATTGGAAATATGGGTATGACAATTTTAATTAAGTTTTCAAAATGCAATTGCTAAATTTTAATTTTCTTTAATATTTGTACAGCTATTATTAAAAAAAATTTTTATTGTTGTTATCTTTTAAGATTCTTCTGCAAAACACCACAAAATAGGATGATTCAATATCATTTAATGGTACTTCCTTTATGGTTTTAGGATGTAAAGTGCTTGATTGTATGCACAAGAATGATAGAAAAGCCCCTTCTAAAGAAGTTTATAAAATTCATCTATTATTATATTATGTTTTTCTTTATTAATTTGTTACTAAAGTAGCTCCTGTATTTAATAATTGTATGTCTAAACCTTTTATTTTTGTTTTTTTGTCTAATTTTCTTAAAATGTATCAGATCACAGTTTTTCAAAAAGCTATTTGCTATATTTAAATTTCTTGGTCACCAAGAAATTTAACTGTAGTTTTCAAATCAAAATTTAGAAAATTTAAAATTTCCCAAGTTTTAAGGTTTTATTTCATTGTTTGTTTAATTTATATTATTGAAATGAGATTTAAGTCAGTCCTATATTAACTATTCAAGACATACATGCATCAACTTAAAATATAACCATTTAAATTATGCTAATTCTTTTTAAAATAAACTTTGTTTTAGATTGCTGAGGATAGTAAATTTAGAAGAGTGCAATTCTCAAACTGTATTAAAGATGCTTTGTCAAGAAATAAAGTAGTAAGGGAATGAATAATTCCAGATTGCTTTCCTTTAAAAAGTTCTCATACTGGTCATTTTACTGAAGATGTAAGATTTCTTGTATCTTTTTTGTGTAGATAAAGTTAAACAGTAGATTTTAAAAGAAAAAAAACATTAAAGAGTTATCCAAAGTAATTTTCATTTCTTGCTTGTAAAATAACATTAAATTTTAACATTTATATTAGTATGTTTCCAGTTATTTAAACTAACAACAATAAGGTTGTAGTAAATTTTAATTGCTATTTTTATTGCTATTGTTTACGAACTTTAGATTTAATATCGTTAAAAACATGTAAAACTTTCTTGTGTTTAGTATGTTAAGTATATTGTGTTTAGTATCTTGATCCAGATTACTTAAATTTAAATGCCTACTTGGTATGTTCTTGTACTATTCCTAATATATGTAATATTTTTTTTTAGGAAGCTAAAATGGTCTTTAAAAAAAAAAAAGGGTCCACATTTTTTTACTTAAAAGTAACTTTCTTTTTTAACTTTTTGTACTTTAGTGTAATAATCAAGTTCATATATGTATAATTACCCATAATAGTCAATATTATTCGTCAGTATAATTCTGTATAATAGTCAATTTACTTTTTTATTCAGTTCAATTCTGTATAATAGTCAATTTACAAAAGAGAAATTTCTGAAAAAAAGTCCTAATGGGGAGGGCTACTACCCCCATACCCTCCCTTACTAAAACCCGCCACTGATTTTCACAGACTGCTGAAGCTATTTTATGGGTTATTGAAGAAAACTGATCTATCAATCATCTTTAGAAGCAATCAATAAATATCTTATTGGAAGCAGGAAGAAGGAAGCTTGGACCATTGTAAAATAAAATGATATCTGTTTCTGTTGCATTATATATTTTAAAGTGTACTTTATTTTAGATCAAATTGCATGATTTCACATTTATCTTCATTAAAAATGATTAGCCATTTTTTTGTTTATTGTTTCTTTTTTTTTTTATCAATTGGAATTGTGTTCCAACAGTGTTGGGTAGGCTTACGAGGCCACAATCAAAGGTTCAGAAGACATTTTGTTAAAAACTTTGTTAAGACCAATTTTTTTTAAAAACATTTACATTGGGTTGCCAAATTATTAGTGACACTTCACTTATTAAGTAATTTTGAAGTTTAAATGATTTTTGCAACCAAATAAATTGTTTTTAGATAAAATATTTAGAGTGTATTTTAGTCACTAATATAACTATAGTTGTTTTTAAACTGTAACAATTTGTGATAACCCGATCTGTCAAAAAGTTAGATTATTACTCAATTAGTTCTTTTTGAAAAGTGTGGTTGAAGTTCAAAAATTTATATTTGATTTCAATTGTTTATTTTTGGAACAATTTTTTGCAAGTTTTTTGAGTTCAGAACTATTGAAACCTAAGTATTCATTAATAGTTCAATTAGTTTAGTTATTTGTTTATTATTTTTGCTAATTTTATTGCATAAATCTTGACATGTAACCATTCTTACCTCTCGTTGATTTTTTTAGTATAGGCAAGTCTCCAGACTTAACCCCAACAAAAAGCAGGAAAGTAATAACCATACTTGTTCATTCTATACATTCTCAGAGAGAGATAGCAGCAATTGCAAGCATTCAAAGTCATTAGTGAGTCGAATTTAAAAAAAAATGATACAAATGTGACTCTAGCACCAGACCATGGCAGCAAAAGTGGCAGAAAAGGATCACTACTCCATGTTGTGACCGTAAAATTAGAGACATCTGTCTTAAAACCAGAAAAAAAAAGTGTGGCCCAACTAGCTACAATTATTAACAATAAAGGAATTAATGTCTCCACAAGGACGGTTCAGGGACGGTTGGTTGAAGAGAATTTAGTGTGTTATCGTCCAACCAAAAAAACCACGTTTAACTGAAGCCATGAAAAAAAAGCGTCTGAAATGGGCTAGAAAACACCAGCTTATGCATGTGACTTCTGAAGACTAGAGTAAAGTAAAGTAAATATAATTTATAATATTGTAAGAAACCAGAAAAATTTAAGGGTAATAATTTATTTTTGAAATATACTTGAAATGTTTTACAGGTCAAATATCTTTAAAATGTTTTACTGGTATGCTTCTCGGACCAATCAACATATCAAATTTTGATGGACAAAAGCTCATTTGTTTGATGATGCCCAGAAAAAAATTCCACCAGGACCTCCTATTGGAAAAAGTTAAATATCCTGTGAGTGTAATGGTGTGGTCTGTGATCTCAGCCAAGGGTATGAGCTGACTTTACATTGTGGAAGGAACCATGAAGCAGGATTGGTCCTGCCACATGGTTGCTTCCTACAAGCGGTTACTGGAAAACAGGCTTCTGCCCCAGGTCCAAGAATGGTTCCCTGGTAATGAAGAGTGTATGTTCATGCATGAATCAGCACCGTCCTATAAAGCTAGATGTGTTACAGCATTTCTAACTGCAAAAAAAGGGTGTGTTTTGCCATGGCCAGGGGATTCACCTGATATTAACCTTATAGAAAATCTATGGGAATTCATAAAACAGAAAATTGCCAAAGAAATCATCACTACCAAGCAGCAATTGATAGAAACCTTTATAAGAGAGTGGAATAGCAGCCCAAGTCTCCAACACAATGCAGAAGTCTACATAGATAGCATGCTCAAAAGCCTAAAAGCTGTTATTGTAGTTAAGGGTGGCATTACAAAATATTAAGATTGATACCTTATTTGTTATGTTAAAACTTTTTATAAGTAAGTTATTTGTTGTTTTATATTCTAAATAAAACTCTCTACCAATAAAAAATAACTACAGGATACATATTTATTCATTAAAGTAGTTTGTACTTTAAAATTACTTAAAAAGTAAAGTGTCCCTAATAATTTGGCAACCCACTGTAGTTAAAAAGTGTAATTATTTGCATGGAAAAGTTGTCAATGCCATTTCAATGATTGATTTCAAGAAAAAGCCTAAAGAATTTAGCTTTGATGAATTCGTTGATGATTTTTCAATATTTTTTTTTGTACTACTTTGTTGTGACATCTTTCTACCTTTAGTATCTATCTACCTTTTGATATCCATCTATCTTTATTTGGTGTGCCAGCCTTTATACAATTTGATCTAGGCTTTTTATCAACTGAGGTCTATCTGAGAAATGTCAACTATGTCATCATAAATTTTATTTACATACTTACCTATGTTATAATAATAGTCTGCTGCTTTTTTATAATTTATTAATTTCTGTATAATTAGGCAGCTGCTTTATTCCAGCCTATAGATCAAAGATTAAAAGATGAAATCTTTGCATATGCTGGCCTAAAATACGGAAAAGATTAGAGATCATTGCCTAAACAGTAATATAATAAATGGAATTAGGAGTAAGAAAATGGCAAGCACAATAAAATGAAAAAACTTTAGCAGCTGCTTTTTTTTTTTTTTGCATTTGCATTTAGCAATCAATTGTATATATGGTTTTCATGAAGGGTCATAAGTGAATGATAATACAAGAAGAGGACTCAGTGAGAGGCTCGCCATTTATCAACATACAATGTTTCTTTTTTAGTAAACTGCTGCAGTTTTGTCGTTAGTCTTTTAGAATAGATTAAGATTATTTTTTGTAAAAAGAATAATTAGAATAAAATTTTATTTATGTATTTGATATATGAAAAGTTAAATAAGATAAGACTGTTATTTGTGGTCATGTAAGTTTATATACATAAGCTTTCATTTATTTCAGTCCATTTTATATTTCTCTATATCTATATGTATATTTTCTCTTGGGAAAAATAATTAGAAATAGGAAAATTAAAAAAAATTAGGCTTCATTATAAGGTATCTGAATATTTATTTATTAGAAATTTTGAATTTTGTTCTTAAATGGTTTCATCTTTTAGATAAATATTAACTGACTAACATAATTTCATTTTTATTAACAATGTTGTGCATAATTGATGCTAATAAATGTATTTTTATAGATGTTAAAAGTTTGCAGATATGTTTATATTATGCACAAAGTTAAAAAAAAAAATTTAAATATGTTTATGTAGTGATTTATGTTATGTAGTTGTTTTATAAATGTTTTTTTATAATAGTATGAAATGTATTTTATCCAATGTGTATATGATTGTTAAATGAAGTGTTTTTATATGTTATACAACATTAAAAAAAAATATTGTGTTTTATAGTTAGTATATATGTTTATAATGGTTTCAAAGTGGTGTGACTTGGCAAACTTGTAGAACAATATTTGTCAACCTTACTAGTCAAGCGATGTTACTGCTTTAGGTCTAAGTTTTGTCTAGCCTTTAATATAACTAAAAAATACATAACATTATCTTTGATATTTTTTTGTGTAATGTTCTCACCATTGGCTGATTTTTATGTTGGTGTCTGTTATTTATAAATGATTAATAGGTAGTTTCATTGCTAGAACTCACTGCTTTTAATTATTTACTAAGTCATTCAAGACATCCTTTTGCTATAAATACATTTTGTTTATCATGAAATAAAAATATTTAACAACTACTACTCAGGTATCACAACAGCTTATCTCTGTCAGGTACATTGATTTTCACATGTCTTTGTTTGTATGTACTTATTCGTTACATTTTTAACTTCAGATTTATCATATGGTGTATTTATTTATTATCGAAGAACAAATCATTTTAAATTTTTATGATTTTTTTAAAAATATCTGCTGGTTATTAGTCCAGTCAACATTATAGTAATAGTAATACAAACTGCTGTAACGACGATTGTCGCGGAGTATAAAGTTTAAAATTTATAATTTAACAGCCGTTAACAAATATTTATCTAGTCTAGCTTTAAAAGAATTTACTGTCATTGCAGAAACCACTTTTTCAGGTAAAGCATTTCAATGAGGTATCACTCTGTTTGTAAAAAAATTGTGTCTCGGTGTTGTTTTTGCAAATTCTCTTTCAAATTTCATTGGATGACCTCGAAGTCTCTGGGAAGAAGCTTTATTAGGCTCTTTATACCATAATATCATATCAATCCCAGTTGTTAATTTAAAGAAAGCAATGAGATCTCCTCTTATACGTCATGTTTCCAGAGTTGTGAGGCCCAAATTTTCAATCTTTCGGTATAACTTAGATGTTTTAGTTCAGGGGCTAGCTTTGCTGCTCGTCTTTGAATTTTTTCTAGGTCATTGATATTGTTTTTATTACTTGGACTCCACACTGGAATTGCGAGTTCCAAGTGTGGTCTAACTAACGATGTGTATAGTTGCCTTACCATTTCAGTGTTAAGATGAGTAAAGCTTTTTCTTATTAAAAATAAGATTCTTTGTGCTTTACTTGTAGCTACTTGAACCTGATGATTCCATTTCATATTGGATGAAACTATTACACCCAAGTCTAGTTCTTTTGTTGTTGTTTTTAGAAGAAAACTTTGATTGTCGTGCTTTATAGTGTAGTTATAGTTAATATTTTTTTTTCCAATGTGCATAAGACTGCATTTATTTATGTTAAAGTCCATTAACCATACATTTGACCATTCAGTTAACAAATTAATGTCATTTTGGATATTAGTTACATCATTATGTTCTTTTATAACAGATGTGATTTTAGTATCATCAGCGTATAATTTTGCGATTGAAGAGATACATTGGGGAAGATCATTGATATATAAAGGAAAAAGAAGAGGACCCAACACAGAGCCCTGTGGTACACCACTATAAACCTCGCACCAATATGATACTTCACCCATTACCACTCTTTGTTTTCTGTTTTTTAAAAAAGAATCAATCCAATTTAAAATATTGCCTTTAATTCCATAGTTAGAAATTTTATGTATAAGTCGATAGTGGGGTACCTTATCGAACGCCTTTGCAAAATCTAGAAACAATATATCAACTGGATAACCATTTTCAATTTCAGTTGTAATAATATCGAAAGTTTCTAATAGGTTTGTTAGGCACCCTTTATTTTGTATAAATCCATGTTGTTGAAACGTTAACAGATTGTTTACTGTTATAAATATTATCAGTTTTTTTCTAATTATTTTCTCTATTATCATACTTGGTATCAATGTCAAGGAGATAGGTCTGTAGTTGAGTGGATCTTTCTTGTCTCTTTTTTTAAAAAGTGGTATAATGTTTGCAGATTTCCATAATTCTGGCAGCTCTCCTGAATGTATCGATTTCTTGAATATTAAAGACAAAGGTTTGGATAATCCTTCTGCACAATGCTTTAGCACATAGGGACTGATGTTATTACAACCAAGTGACTTGTTTTCATTAAGTTCTAATAAATAATTAAATATAATATCTTCTTTTAGTTCTTGGTCCCAGTCACATTCAAATAAATGACTAGTTTTATTGCTGAAATATGGTAAATCTTGATTTTCTTTGACAAATACTGATTGGAAACTACAACTTAGTAGATTAGCAATTACTTTTTTATCAGTTATTATTTTGTTGTCACTAGTTTTAAGTGCTAGCAATTTTGTATGTGTCTGCTTTTTTCTTTGTGCATAAGCATAGAAGCGTTTAGGATTATGTTTTACATCTTTTGCTAAGTTTATTTCATAATCAAAAGTAGATTTTTTAACTTGTTTTTTAATTATTTTGTTGATAAGTTTGTATTCATTATTTAAGTTTGTGTTCTTTAAGTTTGTAGCACGAACTCTGCACCATAAACTACGTTTTTTTCTAACTAGATTCTTGATTTTTTTATTAATGCATGGATTTTGGATAGAACTAGTGGGTCTGAAGTGGCGAGGAATATATTGTTTGCAAACTTTTTCATAAATTTTTAAAAAGTATTCATAACATTGGTTTGTATTCATTTTGTCAAAGATTTCAACCCAATTTACTTTATAAAACATGAGATTCATTTCTTTGTACTTTTTATTTCGAAAATTAAATGTCTTATTATTGAATTTTTTCTCATATGAATTGAAATGTTAATTTCCCATTTTAATATGTAATGGCTTTTAGTAATTTGACCAAGTGGAGCATCATATTCAATGTTAATTATTAAATCTAGATCGTCACATATTATTAAATCTAATATATTTCCTGGTTTATCAACAGCCATTTGAAAAGTTGGCTTGTTAACTACTTGATGTAAATAATTGTTTTGCAAGTTATTAATAAATGCTCTGCTTGTTTGGCAGTTTTGCTTTAGCTCAATAGTTCCGTCTTCATTCCAAATAATATTTGGGTAATTAAAATCACCAACAATTATTACATTTGAGTATTTTCCATTCATTACTTCCTTTTTTGCAGTTTTTATTAATTCATTAATTGCATTATTTATTAGGTCAGTGCTGTTTGGTGGTCTGTATATGCATCTAACTAATATTTTTGTTTTATGAAATACAATGCTACACCATATTTGTTCAACTTTTTTATATATAGGTGAAACTGATACTTCATAAGCAATTATATCATGTTTTGTAAAAACTGCAAAACCTCCACCTTTTTTGTTTGTTCTATTTTTGTAAAAGCAGTTGTAGTTGCTAATATTTATAATTAAGTCATTTTTGAACCATGTTTCAGAAATAAGTATGATATCCGGTGAGTCGATCATAATTTTTGTTTCAAACTCTGTTATTTTATTTACTAAAGACGTAGAATTTGTATACCAAAACTTAAGATAGTTAGACTTTTTATTGAATGGAAAAATAATGTCAGATTTGTTTTTATTTACACTAGATAATGAATTACTTTTTGGTTTTTTCACTTTTCTTGACTTTGACAATTGACTCATTTTTGACAATATACCGAAAGGGCTGGTCATTATCAGCATTATTTAAACGATCTCTTTCTTTTAGAAGCAATTTTCTGCTTTCACGTTGTGCAAATGTTAAATCCTGATTTATATATACTTTATTTTTATATTCGACATTATATTTCAAATTGCTTGCTGACTTTAAAATGTCTGCAACTTTTTCTTTATTATTTAATTCTACTATTACAATACCAGGTTTGTCGGTTTTTGATTTTAGGCGGTGGTGTCGTTTAATAAATGATTCATCGACCTTCAGGTAATTAAAGATCTTTTTTATTTGCTCGTTTTCATGTTGTATATTTTCTTCAGTTGATTTATTTAATTCATCAAGACCCTGTAGAATCAAATTGTATTCTCTTCTAGATTTTTCTTTATTTTCAGCTGAAATCGCGGTTAGTATTCTTGTTTCTTCTGGTTCAAGAGATTTGTTATGAAACAAGCTACTAAAAAGTGGTTTGCTGTTAATTTGATTATTTTTGCTAATAATTTGAGCTTGATTATCTTCTAAGAACTTCAATTGCTTTTCTAAGTCAAGATTTTAAGATAGTAATTTTTTTACCAGATCTTTCAGTGCTAGAATCT